CTCCATCTCAAGGCAGTCATATGTACACTCAGCCTTCATTTTTATAAGCTAAATAAGCCTTTTGTGGGGGCTCTTAGTATAAAATGAGGTCTACATTGCCACAGGCATTTAGGTAGCCTGTTTCTGTACTTAATCCTGAATTTATCTTTTCTGATTCTGTGTGACCCAAGCTGTGCAGTGTTCCAGACAGAATATCCAAAGTGCCTTACACTTGTGCTGCACAAACATGGCACAGGGGCTTCCATGTTTCTTTTGAAAACAGCCCACCAAATAAAATCTAGGGTCACATTTTTCTTTTCCACAAGTGCCCTATGCTGGTAGCTCTCAGTCTTCCTGCGATCAATGAATACATGCAGATAGTTGTCTTCCTTTCCCATAAGCAAGTGATAAATCCCAAATTATACTGGAAATGTGTGGCCTTGCATTTTGTAATGTGGTACATAATCTTGTTTCTATTATTTCAGAGCTTCAGTATATAAATGCCAGACAGTATGCCTTTGCAGCATATCTCTGATTCTGTTTGTGCTGCTACAATAAAATAAATGTCCACAAGTCTCATCTGTCAAGCCTTCCATGCACAGGGCCCCTGGGGCACTTCACCCACATGGCATATGGGTGGATTGTCTTAACATCATGGGAGTACCTACATGATACTGTAAATCACTTCAAAATGTGAGGTCCTCAGATAAAATTAACTGCACTTTTTACCTTGATATATCCAAAATATTTAGATTGGGTTCTGGCTATTTGATCTTTTCTATGTAATTTCACAACGCATGGAATCATGTAGCAGTGAAGAACAATTAAGTGAGCTACTGTACTTGTGCACATGAACCTGCTAGCTTTTTTCCCAGGCTATGTTTTACATATTGCAAAAGATGAAGTGTCTCTCCCCTTGACAGATTTTATTCCACAGCAAAGTACAATATTAAAAGGATGTTTCCTATATAAGCAAATAGCCATAGACCTAGAAGGCAATTCCATTTTCCTCTATAGGTGAGGCTAACACCATCTGAAATTGTAGAGCTCAGTACCTTTGTAAATCAGACCTGCTTCCTTTTTAAATAATGTTACAAAATATTCTGCTTAGTCATTTGTCATGATGTCACAACTGTAAATGGATGTGTCAAACAAACATATATTGCAACTTACGGTCCATAGGCATGGAAACGGTTCCATGCAAAAGACTTGCATCAATTTCTCCTTTGTACCCTAAACAGAAAAAGAACAACTCCAGTCACTACCACCAAGAGGTAAAGGCTCTCTGAGCCACAAATACAAAATTGGTAATGTCAATCTTAATAAAAAAACACAAAGGAAATATTTTGCAAACCTACTCTTTACCACGAGGGAAGCAAAAGCCGAAATTTCTCCTTTAACATTCATAGCAGAAGCCCGATACTGAGCAGTGTCGTCAAAATCACACCTAAAATGATAGAAATGATTAGGCAAGGTACCCATTTACTCCTTAGCATAGCCTCTCTGATCTTTTAGATTAAAGAAACCCACAGAAATCTGGTAAATCTATAAAGAAGCAAGAGCTTGGGAGACAGGCACACTGGACACTGGACTGATTGTAGCTATTAAGTTTTTCTCAATGTTAAAAATCCAATGTTTGAACGAATTCTTTCTTTTCAAATATCACTTACAGATTTGAAACTGAGAATACAGCAGAAATACAAGAAAACTGATCATATTAATCTAAGTTATTTTTAAGTTATCTCAAATTTACTGTCTCCTATAGAGAGATGCCTAATGTGGAAGCTGTAGAAATGGTAGATACTGTAAAATATTTCCAAAGGGCACCTACCAATTTTAAATTTTCAAATCTTGATTGCTGCTGATTGTCAAATTAGGTGATGATATCTCATGTTTTCAATGTTTTTTAATGCAAAGTGACTACAAAAATTCCCATTTGGAGGATGTGTACTGTTAAAGATCTTTCTTGTGTATAAGTGAGGGCATCTCAGTTGGGTTCCTCATTTCAGTAAGAATCAGGAACTCTTCTATATTTGAAAAACAGTTGACTCACATATTTTTACCCTGAACTAGATTTCTCTCATGTCTAACTGCACTCATGCAGCAGACAAATGGGAAAGCAATCACAAATATCCCACATGTTTCTGTCTCAGCCACAAATAATAATACAGATAAATTGCACACTTAGGTAAATTGCGTATCTTCTACTCAGGAAAACCAGAACTGCTTCAACATTTAGTAGACAGCATTCACTGCAGCTGTACAAACTTAAAAGCTCTCACATCCCCAAGAGATATGTTCTCATTTTGCAGGTCTCAATCTATAGTAATATTTCAGCTTAAGCTATTCGTTAAATTATCTAGTATTGCCTTACGTGCTAATCTCCAGTGAGTGCAGCCCATACCGACTTTCAATTATATACTTGCCGGGGTGAGCCTGTACATCAATGGGCACATTGTTTTTGTACCTACGGAAAAGCAAAGAAACAGTATGTCACAAACGGAAGTGTATAATTATATACTTTAAAAGCTCAAGTGCTTGATGTTTGAAACAGAACATGAGTTTCTGCATGTTTCTCCTAGATAAACTCTTATGTGATTTCCCGGGAAGACATTACATATTTTTGGAAGTTTAACCTCTTTGTTTCTCTTTGACTCACCACAGATGAATTTTATTTTCTAATTAAAAGGAGAACATTGTCTTGAATAGGATGAGAATCAGTTTATATTACCATGAACTTCATGTTAATACTCGTAGAGGAATGCACGAGTCACATAAGCAACATCTCAGGGTTTTGTGAATTGCAAACAATTAAAATTCTGTAGCATTCTTACCTACTAGGTAAGCACATTTTGTTTGGGTTGCATATTTGATCTGCTTTTAAAACCTGCATATTCACAAAAATGTCAGGTAGAAAGCTACCTTTTTTTTACTTGCATAGTTAAGTTGATAGAAGCCCTGATGGGGTTAAACTGGTAAAAAAAAAAAAAAATTGTCTTGCTGGTAAAGTGCATTGTGGTGCGGGATCTGGCAGAAGGTGTACTACCAAAAGTTTCTCTGGCTTTACAGGTATACAGTATGAGTGTTTTCTGGTACCAGTATGTCTTCAAATAGGAAAAGTTTGCTGTTCAAAATTCCCACAAAGTAATTTAAAAGAAGGAACCAGTAGTGATCAGTAGTGAGCTGGCACCACTAATTTCAGAATTTATATAAACAGCTAGACACTCACAGAGGGAGAGTTCAGTGGTTCATGGTAAATTCTTCCTCACCAATCACTGCATAAAAAGTCACCCATTGTGGACAATACACGGTGTAACCAAGTAAGTGTTCGAGTGAATCCTGTCTTAAGTAAGCACTAGTAATATGGAACAAGCTGGTGATAGGAGTCTAATAAAATTACACACTGAATTATATTCAGTATATTTGGGGTTGATTTGATGTCTGTTAAGAAAGAATGTTTCCTAAGACAGTGTCCTCCTTTAACATATCTTTCCCTGTGCTCCGTAAGGTACATGTATAAGGGAAGTGGAAATATAAGTGATGATAAAGTATCTTCATCTCTTACTTTGATGTAGCTTAAATAAACCTTGCTCTTCACAACAGATATCCAGCCAAAGAGCTTTGCTTCTTCATTTCAGATTTTAAATTTAAAATCTCTCATGATTTTCGGTCAGGAAAGGGAACTGATCTGATGTCAGTGGCTTGCCCCACTTCACCATGTGAGTCAGTAATAAGCAATTTTATTTTTACCAATAATATTATTAGTTTGATATGTCTCAGGACGAAGCTATATCTGCAATAAAACAGTCAAGACCAGGTTGAGAGCTTATGGGTTAAAATCAAGGACTGGTCCAACAAAGGACATCTAGTGGCTGGGGTCTACTACAGGCCACCTGATCAGGGAGAACCTGTTGACGAGGCCTTGTTTGAGCTGCAAGACGTGTCACGCTCGCAGGCTCTTCTCCTGATGGGGGATTTCAACCACCTGGATATCTGCTGGGATAGCAACACTGTGGGCTGCAAACAATCCAGGAGACTCCTGGAGTTTATTTAGGATAACTTCCTAGTCCAGATATTAGATGGACTGACCTGAGGGGAAGCTTTACTAGACCTGGTGCTCACCGATGTAGAAGAGAGCATTAGAGAGGTTAAGATTGGGGGCAGCCTGGGCTGTAGTGACCATGCCTGGTGGAGTTTGTGATGTTGAGGAATATGGGCCTGGCAAAAAGCAGAGTCAGGACCCTGAACTTCAGGAGAGCAAAATTCCAGCTGTTCATGGAATTACTGGATGGGATCCCCTGGGAAACTGGCCTTAAGGGCATAGGAACAGGACAGAGCTGGCAGCTCTTTAAGAACACCCTTCTGAGAGCACAAGAGCTCTCCATCCCCCAACAGAAGAAATCAAGCAAAGGAGGTGGGCGACCGGCATGGCTGAGG